TGCATTTCAAGAATCTGCTGGCTGGTAACCTCCCTGAGTTACAAGGGAGGCTGCTTGTCAGGAGCTGACCTGAGCTGGATTTAATTGGGAGCCAGTTGGAAAGAGATCCAAGGGCACCTTGGGGAGGCTCCGTGGAGGATGCCAGAGGGTGGGAACAGGCACCACACGAGCAGAGAGCAGCCACAGGCAGAGTCTGGACCTGCAGTGGGCTCTGGGTTTGGGCTGGAGAGCCCCGGGCTGTTCACAGCTCCAGGCAGCTCCCAGGACAGCGGTGCTGACTGGGATTTACACACTGGATTAGCTGGGAGCAGCTAGCTGCTAATCCCAGCTCCTTCTCTGAGGCTGCTGCTGCCTGAGGCACAACCACTGCCTTTCTGCTTCAAAATCCTCCTGTTCTGCAATATTTATTTCCCACATGAAGTTGTTTTTTTTGGGGGAAGGAATATATTAATAGAAGAAAAACAAATATTCTCCAGCTGTGTTTTCCAGTAGAAAATATTGACCAGTTTCCACATCTAAGTATTATCAATATTCTAAGTCTTTAATTCCACCAGAAACAAAACAAGTCCATTTGAGAGTTTCAGTCAATGACTTGGGAACATTATCATTCTTGCTAAATGTAGCCCTTCAGGAAAATATTGACCATCAAACTGCACCTTCAGCTATTTAAAACTACCCAGGGTATTCCCACTCCTTTATTCCACAGCCTGAGCACCTGCCACCTTGCAGCTTCACCACCGGCGGAAAAGAAGTTTAATTTTTAATGGAGCAACATGACCTTTCTTTCCCCTCCAAATGAAGTGACACATGTTCACACAGAGGAAAACCAAACCACACCACGACACGCTGTGAGTTCAAAAGGCAGTGAAGACACAGAGAGCTCTTGCTGTGCTCTGCTCAGGGCAGCCTCACAGACAAGCAGAACCCAAGCTCTGCTGATCCCTCAGTGTTGCTACCTATCAACACATCCTCATTTCAGAACTCCTGGATGCCTGAATATGAAATATAATTCTCTTGTTTTCCTCCTACGTATTTTAGCACTCCCCTCTGCTTCTCACCTGGCTTGTTCCCAACCTCCCCTGACCACACGCTGCTGCACCCTTTGGCTCCCTCACAAACTGAAATTTTTGCCTTTGATCCTGTAGTGAATCCAGACCCACAGTGACGGTGAGCTGGTATTGGAAAGCCAAGAAAGACCATCTATATATATTTTTTCCACCCACAGTTCAGACTGGGGTGTGTAAAACTGCCCAGTTTATGCCCTCAGAACCCTTTCACGAGCCCAGTCACCAATGCCAAGCAAAACCTCCCCTGCCTGGTGAAAGAAAAAGCTCATAGTGGGTAAGAAAAAAGTGTCTGGTAGTCCATGGTCTTGTGCCAGCCCAGGGAATGCATCCATCAGCCTGGAGCTGCATCCACAGCAGACCCACTGGGCTCCCCAAGCACACCTGGCTACCAAGGCAGGATGAGCTGCCCAACACCCGAGGCACTGCCACCCCCAGCAAGGGCACATTTTTCAGGCTCACTCGTGTCCTATTTTCTCCAAAACTTCAAATTACAGCAAATGTTCCTGTTGAATCCCAGCCCTGCAGGGAGGAAGAGCAGCCAATTCCATGGCTGGGTCACCTAGACACGGAGAAAACACCGAGATGGGAGCAGCAGCTCAGCCTGCTGGGTTTGCCCCGTGTCAGGCTGAGCACAGTGACACCACAGCAGTGTGTTTTTTTACAGATATTTTAAAGGAATGGGTATAATAGGAAGAAAGGCAGCTTAAGAAGTTTGGCCTGCAAATTTTAAATGAGTATTTTGAGAAATTTCAGCGAGGGAAAAGGCTGAGCATTCCCTGCTGTGCTTTCCTCCATCAGTCAGACATCTGGAACAGAGCAGGGACACTCCAGCAGCTTCTGATTCTCTCCACTGCCTCTGCTTTCAGCCCCCAGCACTCAGCTCAGAGGGATTTCCAGCTGAGGAAACACCTCCTCAGCACCATCACTCAGCTCTGGAGCTGGGAAACAAATGCTGTCAGTCACAATTTTGTGAGCACAAAACAAATAGTGATGTATGGTAGCAAAGCTCCTTTCAACAGCTGATTACACAGATAATAACCTGTTTGGTTTTAGGTTGTTTTTTTTTTCTTTTACACAGATTAATAATCATAAACTCAGCAGGTCAGGCATTACCACAAGATGAGTGGCTCTGACAACAAGCACTGCATTTAGAAAGGATGCTTAATTGAAGCTAATTTCACTAAGTGACCTTAAATAGCAATTTCCTTTTCATATGACAGAATGACTAATTTTTTTTTTTTCCATTTAAGGCACAAACCTTCTATTTTTTCCTCCCTTCATGACTAACTTTGAAGTGCAAACTCCTGAATGTCCTTTTATCCAAGACTCAAAGGGCTGTGCACAGTGAAAGTTAACCTGCAAGGTTCTTTTCTATTTGTTCAGATAAAGGATTGTACAGTCAGGTATTGAATACAGATTCTTTCCCTCAGAAATCAGAATGCCAAGGCCATTCAAAGATCACACTGGTGAAACCACAGTGGATTTTGGCCCATCTACAAATTACTAAATCTCGAGGGAAAACTGCAGCAGGCAGAATTCATCTGTACTGGCCTCCTCCTTGTTACCCTGAGCATCTTCACCTCTACAATTGAATTATTTCATGTATTACCCAGCCAAATGAGAGGCAGCAGAGCTGTTCCCTGCTGCTCCCTCCATTCCCCTCAGCTGCAGGATGGAGCCTGCACTGAATCCTGACTTTGAGCCTGGACAAAGCCCTTCACAGCCACATTTAAATTTAGATAAACAGGACACAGACACTCCACGAATCTGATTGATTTTCTGGAGCCTTTCAGACAAGACCACTTGAGTTAAAAGGCAAGTAACTCAAATCCTGGGAAAGGATACTGGGAAAGGAAAAAATCAAACAAAAATCCCCAAACCAACATCTACACCCTTCTCCTCACAACATCAGCACGGGTTTCCTTAAGATGCACTCTCAATCAGGCCAAGGGAGCAGGCTAAGGCTGAAGCAGCCACTGATTTCCCTGAAACACTTCACTGGGGTGTCTAAACCAGAACGAAGCATTTCCAAAGGACTACTTAGCCCTAAACCAAACACTTCACTTCCCTCAGCTGGCTCTTACAAAGCACTTCCAAGAGCCATCAGTTCAGACTGTGTCTCCCTCTTCTAAAACAATGACAAGAACAATCCTGACGAGCCTATTAACAAAAACAATGTCTGTAATTCGCTTTTATTTGCATGCCTGTGACCATGAAAGGAAGAGTCAGTACACTCACTTGAAATCAGAGTTCCATTAGGGATAATCATTGTGTGAGCCTGCTCCCAATTACCACCAATTCAAACCCAAGGACACCTTTTAAAGGTAAAAAAGTTGCCATCGACTTCTGCACAGTGTCACAATGTAAATAAAAAGAGAAAGGAGAGCTTGGAGGAAGACTCCCAACAGCTGAGATAACCAACTTAACAGAGGCAGTATGAACGAAATAGAAATCTCAATTTCTAATGCACAAACTCAATTGAACAAAGCACCCCCTTCATGTGCCCACTAATTCTCACTTCCAGATTTGCTCTTTATCACATTTTAAGGATGTTTTCCCCACTCTTATTGGTGCTTCCCTGTGGTACTAACTCAACCTCTGAAAATAAATTTATCAAGGCACCATTCTGAATGGTAATCATGAGTCTCAATCTTGCACAGTCCTATCAGAAGGGCAAGGTCCTTGTAAAGCAGCAAAAACTTCCCAGTTCAGCTCCATCTCTAAATGATCCCATCTTTTATTATTTCCACCTGCATGTTAGACAGGGATAAAGAAAAACATGGTATTAACTGCTGCTGGCATTCAATTAACATTTGTGGGTCTCCTAGGAAAACAGAGGTGTGGATGAAGCCTTCAAACACACATTTCACCAGGAAAATTAATGGTTGTGGTTGAAAGGTCGTGCCTTGACTAACACACTTGCACAGTTTGGGTCCAAGGTGGGTATTGTGGCTCCTGGCACGATGCTGAACATTGCATTTCCTATTTATACTGACAGCAAACAATTCATGTTTGCCCTAAAATACAGAATTTAGTGCTCTGTTCACACACCCCTCTGTGCATTAACTGCTGACATTTAGGCTGGAGTCCAGGGAACCACATTCATCAGCTGAAGTAAATTTGTGGAATTCCAAGCAGGTCCAGAGGAACTTTGTCTGCTTAAATGACATGTAGTCCTGAACTTTTGGCTTTCAACACTTGAATTATTTTTCCATAAAGTCACAGCAAATCCCACCAGGAAGTTCTCTCTCCAGTATATTTTAAAATGGTCACAAATACTTGAAGAACTTACCAGCACAAGATTTCTTGTTTTTTATAACTGTACCACAGAAGGGTTTCTGCAAAGACAGGGATCTTGGTTAAGGATTTTTGGGGGTTCTGGTTGTTTGGGATTTTTTTTTTTATAGCCCTCTAAGAGTTTGGCAGCAGTTTCACAAAATTATAAATTTAAATTACTTTTTAAAATTATTTTATAAATGGTTCTCTTCCTTTTCTCAACTTGCTAACATAGATTGTACCTAATTAAATTAACACAAAAGTAATTAAATTACACAAAAGTAACATCACATCATTACTTAGGAAGGAAGTACACAGTTCTGGAAATTCTCAATCCATGCATCCATGTATCAAAATGAAAACCAACTGGCAAGACAAAATACAGGTATGTTTATATGAAATTCAGTGAACACTAATTTGTAGCAGCTTATTTGGCACTCAGTTGTCAAGTAAAGCAGTTTTCATTTCCTGTTTAGCACTTGTTTGAAAAACATGAGGATGTGATATTCAATCAAGATATTAAACCTCAGTAACAACCTAAAAGAACGAGGGGGTAAAAATGAAAGAGAACTTTTTAATAAACCAAAGCAACTTCATGTATAATTTTGCTTATAAAGATGAAATCTCTAATATAAACCAAACAGAAAAACAAAATCCTTCTTTTCAAATCCCTCTTTATTTCACAGTGAGCTCCCAATTCAGATTAACATGAAATTGTTCAAAGGCCACAGAGGTGAAATGAAGGGGCTGCAGCCTCATGGCTGGTAAATGCTGATTAACAGATTAAGAGATGGAATCATAATGGATGTCAGTGTTACTGTTCTTTATATTGCTACACCAAAAATTTCAGCCAAATTAACAGCTGTGTACATTGGAGAGGATTTTTCACCTCTTGGCATACTCAAGAAATATGAATAAGTGAAAAGCAATCATATGTCATCAGCAGCATGAATAACTGAGGCCTCTCTCTTCAGATCAAATGTCAAAAGCAGTATTATATAGTTAATAGTAAAAAAGAATAGCCATCCATGATACAGCTTGGAGAGTGTCATGGTTTCTTGAAAAAACTTGTCACAGAGCAATAATACTTCCCTTTAATGACCCTATAAAGAGTTCTGAGCAGCCTGCTAAGATTATCTGATATTGAGTCAGACCAGAACAGAGCAAAAGAAAAAAAGTAAAGCATCAGATTCACCGAGGTACTGAAAACCCACAAGTCTTTCTTCATTAGTATCCCTCTGAGTTGGTTTCAAAATGTTTTTTGAAACTACATAAACTTAGTACTTTTCATTTCTAATAAAATAGTTCATACAATTCTTATATGAACATCACATCATTAAAAGGGGTCAATTTAAAGAGCAACTTCTTGAGAGCCATAACCCACTTACAATTAAATGACATGGTTTGAAAAGCACTTACAAGCTACTCATCACCACAAGATCCAAGAGTCATTTTTTACCCCAAATACACTGTAAAAAAAAAAAACCAAAAAAAAACCTGCTCCTTGTGAACATTTAAGTCTTTCTGCTCTTATTAATGTGATGGGGAGAACAGGGCCCCAAAAGCGTTCAGAGGAAAAGAAAATTCAGCAATTCCTTATCTGGAAAAAAAAAGCTCTTTATCCCTTTTGGTACTCTGGAGAAAATGCAAATGTGTAGCAACAAGAGAATTTTAATCAGTGGCAACACCCTTTAATCCACACCTTTGTAGTGCTCAGTATATAAAAATCATATGCTTCAAATTGCAGGATAACAGGAGTGGGTGAGAGAGAGGCTTTGCAGTGCTGCTGGTCCCATTAATCACATATTGATTGAACACTGAATGCTTTTTCAGGCTGCCTGACAGATTGGAATGGCTCTGGTAACCCCTCACTCCAATCCATGTTCTGCCTCATTCTTTTTTACATCATTCATTAAATCTCCTGGGAATACACACAAACCTCTCTCTCCTGCTTGTCCTCACAGATTTCTCAGCTTGCTGGATGTTCAGGTGCCCTTTAATCCCCCCATTAACACCCTGCTGATCTCACAGCAAAAACCTGCCATGAATTTAAAAATCCCTTTCTCCATCCCTGTGAATTTAAAAATCCCTTTCTCTATCCCAGTGAGAAGATGCCTCTCAGCTGTTTGGCTGTGCTCCACTTGTGCCACTGCTCCTGGAGAGCAGAAGTGACAGCAAATGTCACAGGAGATGCCACCCTCCCTCCCCAGGGTTAACCTGGGGAGCTCCTACACAGTTACACTGGGAGCAACTGACATGTAAAACAGTCTTTTTTAACTTGTCTTTAAAGACAAGGCATTAACATTCTGACTGGGCATAAAAGAAAGCTGGTGAATGGTACTTTTCTAAAAATAGCTCCATGGAGTGTCTAAAAACACCTTCTGAGTGTTCCATGCCTGCTCTGCCCACCAGACAAACACAACTGCAAGTACTTCAGAGTATTATGTAGGCAGATAAGGTCTAGGTGAGCTGCAGTCACTGCCTGTTACATCATTTATAACAGTTCTGGATTAAAATTTAGTTACTATGCCAGTAACCTTGCTTTCCTATTTGGTGGAGTAAGATTACAGTTCAATTTTCCCAAAACAGACTGAATAAAACAACTCAGGACAAGTGTTTCAGGTTATGCAGCGGCATAAACACTGCAATATGATTCTGACAGTTCACATTCTGAGACTATTTATATTTTTAAAAGCTGTCTTAGTGCTCCCATCACAGATTTTCATCATTGATGAAAATGCCATTGAACTCAAAAGAACTATTTGGGGTTCTGGGAGGGTCCATAAAGCACAGCCCTGAGGAAGGTTCAGCACCTTTCCCAACACAGCTCAATTCTGAGATGCTGAGCCAGAAGCTGTTTTCCACCATCAATATTTCACAGGCCTTGGGATAGCCAAGGGTGATTTCTTCAAATTCTTATAAAATCTATCATGCCACACTATAACCTGATTGACTTCCTTACAAAAAAAATTTAAAACACCAAACCCAAAAAAGCCCACAACAGAAAAAAACCCAACCAAACAAAAAAAACCCCATGGATCTGACAACTTAAGCACATGAAATAGATTAACAAACAACTGGTTGGGAAACAAGGGGCTGAGGGATACAGAATAAGGCAACATTTTCCACAGAAATACTTCCTCACATCTAATTGTTGAAAAATTCAATGCCAAATTGATTTCTCAGCTGTGTAGACATGATCTGCAATATAATCTACCTTATAAAAATATCTCATTCAATACAGGAATTCAAATGTCTGCAGAACAAGAATATAGGAAAAATAATTTAAGGGACAAACCCCCAAACTAATTCTGTAGTGCATGGTGGAGTGAAATTAGGCAATTACATTCTGAAAGGGACATTTCAGAAGAGAATTGTTCAATACAATATGGGTCCCTACATTTCCTTCCATTCTCAGTACCAGATTTTTAACAACACAATAACACGCTCAGATGACCAAAGCAAGGAATAAAAGCCTTTCAAACGTGGCATTTTTTCCCCTTCTGTTTCACATTCTGTTGGACTGAAGCAGCATCTTCCTCCATCTCAACCTCTGCAGCAACCTTCACCTTTTGCCACTTCCCAACACCCATTCCTGTGCTGCTCCTCCTGGCACAGGGATCAGATGCTGCTGTAGTCTGAGCCATGGGCAGCAAGGGCTGCTGCTGCTCCCCACTCCACGATGAAGAAGGTGATTGTCCCAAAAAAACCCACCAGCACCATGATCAGGAGCTGCCACTGCAGCAGGAAATAGTTGCTGTAGAAATAGGCAACAGCAGCACAGATGGACTGAGAGGAGAAACAAAGTGAAAAGATTATCAGTGGAGATTTGCAGGCTGGTGCTGCTACAGAAGGATTATTAAACTGATATAGACACAGCTTAATATGAAGCTCTCAGAATGCTTTTGTAGTAGAAAGAATCTTAAGGCTTCCTAATACCTCAACATATGTTTCAGCATGTCCCACAACAGATTTCGTTTTTACTTGTTATTTAAACAGCATTCAACTGAAGAAAATGAACACCAAACTCCAAAGTGTTTGTAGCATTGCAAGCTGGCATTTCAAATGGTAAATCCACTACCAAAATCTCAATGTGGTGTTTCAAACCACTTTGTCTAGAAACAACACAGACAAAAGCTTTAAGATCATAGCCCAGGAAACTGTTTCCAGCTTCACAAAACTATTTTACACCAATAATAAAAATAAAATAATTTGCAGAAACATTTTTCTCAGCTCATTAAGAACCCAGTATTTCAGTAACACCCCAACAATCCTACTTCCAAAAGGCTGTGTTAGGCAATACCTGAACAAACTTAAAGATGGCAAAGGCAGGAGCACTGTCCTCTGAGTACAGGAATCCCAAAATACTGAGGAGCTGGGTGTTGAAGCAGCTGTCCCCCAGCCCCAGCAGGAAGCTGCAGAGCATGGCCACCTCTTTGCTGAAGGAGAAAGCAATTCCAATTTAAAAGCCATTCAATCAAAGAGCTCACACATTTATAAACTGTTTCTGCCAGGCTTATTTGGAAACTGTGAATGGAAGAAAGTTATCACACTTTTAATTTCCCTAGGAAAGAACTGGGAATGCCTGACTTGGCAAAAGGAGTCAGTTCATCAGCTTTAATTTCTTGAATGCCAAGACTTCTGTTACTGTTACCTGCAGCCAATTCTGCACTGAATTAGAAGCACTAAAATAAGGTTTTAGTGCTTGGAGCCACAAAATCCACACAGCAGTGATTAAAAGCTGAGGCACATGGTGAGTTCAAAAATCTGCAGGAATGTTAGAGAAATAACAATTCATTTGGCAGAAAAATACTCCAGCTAAGACCAGTCACCTGCACAGGCACAAGTTAAGAGTTGAAAGTTAGCAGCTGGGTCTGCAGAACTGACAGTACAGGATTTTCACCCAAATTGGTAAAAATGCAGTCCAAAAGAAAGTTGTAATGATGAGATAAGAAAGCTTTTTGTATTCTCCCCCCAAACACTGACAGGGACAGGCTGCAGTCACACCAAGTGGAATTTGACAGGGCAAGGCTGGTGCTCCCTGATGTAAAACTGAGCCCAAGACTGTTTTAAAATAAACTGAAATCTTAACACCCACTACAATAGATGCTGGTCTTTCTATTGTGCTACATGTCAAAAACATCAGTTGTCAAGTGACACAACTGCTATTATTCATCCCCAGGCTTTTATTCTTATGCCATTCAAGTTCCTAAATTGGGTGCACACTGGTGGAAATCTACCTTTAATAAAAACAGAATTCCTGAAAGCGTTTTCCAGGGAGTTAGTCACTACTCAGAAAAAAAACTTCAAGAAATTTTCTGTAGAGAAAAAAGCTGTTTTATGCACATCCTGAGTTACAGCAGCCATAGGCAAAAAAAATCCCACATACCTTGGAATCATATAAGCAACTTGATCTGTTCCTTCCATAGGAGCAATGGGGGCATCATTTGGCATGTTGAAAAAAATTAAATAAAAGGCTATGAAATGGACAAGGATGCCCAGCATCACCACTGGGTTCCTGCCAGAGCGACTCTTCTTGCTCAGCAAGCCAAAGATTCCTCCCCCTGCAGGAGCAGAAAAGAGAGAATTGAATCAGAAGTGGAGATTTAAATCCTGACAATTTAAATTACAAACGTTCCCACATTGGATAACAAAGATTGACTGACATGCAAACAGCCCCAAGGAGTTTGCCAGGGAAATGGGGCAGGAGATTGATCAGCTGGTTGCTGATGAACATATTTCACCTTTTGGCAAGTATTTAACCAGCAGCCAGTTTCCTTCAGTATTGCAACTTCACTAAGTGAAAATGGACAGCCTTGTGCTCAGCTCTTAATTGAAAAACATGCAACTCAATGGATCTGAGCTGCTAATGAACAGTGTTTTTTTGTTAAATACCTCAGTACTTGAGTCTACAGAAAAAAAGAAATATTTATTTAATGAATATTACCTGTATCCAAATTTATTCAAATATCACATCTCATTTAACACAAGCAAACTTTTTAAAGAAAGAAATCCTTAGTGTAAGCATTTATTCAAAAATTTTAAAATTATATCACTCAAAACTAATAAGAATGCAAACATAATACTATTTCAAAATAGCATTTAAAATAGCAAAATTATTTCAATTCCCTAATAACACTGCAGCCCAGTGTTTCTCACATTTGAAGTCTGTGTATTCCTCCACATTAATCCAAAGAGAATGCAGAATATTAGAATTGGTCTACATCCACTTTACACAGTGTAAGGTATAATTCACAGTGCAGTAAGGAACCACAGTGCCAATTACATTGCTACTATTTCATTTTTGTTCACATAATTATTGCTGGAAGCTCCAAACACACTATTGAGTAAAACACAAACCCATTTTGAATAACTGCACCACCCCAATGCTTTTTGTTGTCAAAAGGTAGCAAGTTTAGACTCACCTAAGATTTCTCCAACACCAATAAAAATACCAGAGAGACCAATCAGGCTTTTCTCTTCACTGCCAAACCTATTCACAGCACCAATGCACGTTCCATACACTCCAGAAAAGAATGTCAGCACCAAACCTTGGAAAGAAACCAAACAGAACTGATAGATGCACTCTCATAAAAGTCATGAAAACATCTTTATGTCTAAAGGCTGTTTTCCCCTCAAGTATCTTTCAAATCATATATTTAAATGAGATGTGGGTAATAAAAGCAAAGAGGGAATTTTAAATGATGTAATTATTATATTCTTCCATACCAGTTCCTAAAAACCACATTAGAAAAGTGTCACAGGCACCCAGGTTCAGTGCTGCTACTCTTGACCCAACACCTGTAGTGTTTATATTAAACAATATATAAAATATATGTTTATATTTGTTTATAATAAACATATATATATATATATGTTTATATTAAACAAATATAGACCTACAGTTTATACTTCTACAAAAACTCTGGAATTTTATCAAATAAAAAATGCCACATGAAGTAATTGAAGAAATAAGGCACAATTCCATTCAAGGATTTCCTCCCCCACTTCAAGTTATGTCATTCCTAGAAGTCCCTGCAGCTCCAAATGCCAGTAAGGAGCTAAGAATCCTAAAATGAATTTTTTTAATATATACATAATGAATTTAAGCTGAGAAAGAACAACTGCTATTTGTTTTAAATCCTCTTTCTTTCTATTGCCATTAGTGAGGAAAAATACCAACTCAATAAACAAGTGTACTCAAAACAACACAAAATATTATTCCTAAACAGAGAAAAACAGCTCAAAATAAAATTTTCTCATTTGTATCCTTTGCTTTTTGGCTACAGCCAAACGCTGGTACAGCTCACCCTGCCCTCCCTGGATGGACTGCATGGCTTCAATAACAGGGGTGCACTTGGAGCAGCTTAATTCCAGTAATTTTGGAATAAAAACCCTTGTTGGCCTTAGGGAATTTTCTGTTTTCTTACAGAATGTAGCAACACCAACCTAAATCCAGAAGATGGCAGCAGATATTTTTTTTTTTTCCCAGATTTATTTTTATGCCACCTGTAACCCCAAATTCCAGGATATTCAGGCAAAACCTGACTGACTCCCTTTTCTTGTTATCTTGCTCCACGTCCCCATCCCCAGAGGAATTAATGTGAATTAATCTGGGTTAACACAACATTGGAGGTGCTGTGAAGTAATCTGTAACTCAGATTAGTGGCTGGAGCAACCCAACTCCAGAGTTACTCCTGCTGTTTCTCTACCAGGAGCTGCTGTAAACTGCAATGTTTATATTTTGTTCACATTTAAGTTTTTCTTTTCACATAACAATAATTTTTCCTAATGGTGACTCAGAGCTAAGGCTCTGAAAGTGCACGTATTTTATAAAAAAAAAAAAACTAATTTGACCATGAACAAAACTACATCTGAAGCCAAATAATGAGCAAAAAAATCCCCCCAAAAAAACAATTCAAGGATCTTATGGGTTTTTTTTGGTAGCAGAATCACTTATATGGCAAAAATACATTTTTATCTTATAACTCTGCATTGGTCCAAGGAGGGCAGACCAAGTTTAACTGAAATCTGCTAAGAAGAGAAAAAACTCTTGCCACAGCAAATTCTATTGATAAAAACAGTTGAAAATTACTAAGACGGGTCCAAATAGAACCAAGACTAAAATGAAGAGCATTGGGAATCTCCCATGATTTAATGAAGGTATGATGTACAAACATTCCTTTAATTCAAAGGCAATACAGCTGCATTAAACAATATCAAAACTATTGATAGTGCAATATCAAATCCCATAAAATCCAGCTCCGTAAATTTTGCCTCTCACTTTGGGACCCAGAAATTCACAGAACCAGCACCTGCAGGTTTGGATGCACCCCTCCTCCTGTACAGAAACATTCACCATGACACAGAAACATCCTGAGTAACCCAAAATTAATTAAAATATCCAAATAAGGTTTGCAGAGAGATGGATTAAAATTCCAGTCTGGGGTTAAAATTCCAAACAATGTCTTGCCACTGCTCCATGGTGAAACTCTGCTGGCTTCATACCTGTGTAGGCTGTGGTAACACTGAGAAGCAGCATCTCTTTGGTGAAGCTCAGTGTAATAGATTTCTCTGTTAGGAAATAATAAAGAAAATTAATAAAACTTCTGAGGATACTACTAAGATAATCTACGTTTACTTTTGCTCTTTGCTTAAAGCAAAAACTGGTTATTATACAATCTGTGTATTAAAGTTTCATTTACTGTTCATTACAGCAGAATGCCAAATAAAACAAAAAGATGTTTATCTGCCATCTAGAAGAAATACGCTCTCCAAAAATTGTATTTTGTAAGAAATGCAGTGGGGGAAATATTAAAGAATAAAATACACAATTTTCAATTATCAGATAATTTTCTGCTCTCTGTATTTTTGTACTCTCAGTTCATGGCTACTGTCTCCTGAAAGGATAAACAGATTTTCAGTGAAGATCCCCACATCCTCACTACAAACTTAACAGTCTCAGGCAGAACACATAAGCTTCAAAGGGAACTGCAAATGCTTCAGCTCTAAACTGTTAACTGGTATCAACTGGTGACAAAATCAAACAACCTATTTGAATTCTTTTTATCTTCACATGTTTGTTGATTTTTATTTTTCAGTCTCACTGCCTTTCCCAAGTATTAACCTGCTCCTTTTGTGCTCATCTGCACAAGGATGCTGTTGTAAAGCAGTTTGGATCTGAAATCACATCAAAGGAGGAACACTCCAAATCTGTCCTGGACCACTCAGGTATGTGACTGAAGTGGTTTGTACATGATCACATCACCAGCACAAACACACAGAGCTGGCAAGGAGGTGCCAGGTTCTGCTGAAGCAACTCTCATGTGAAATTGTACTTACTGAAGGCAGCCACTGCTTTCATCATTTTGTTTCGTGCAGACCTGGGTAAACAAATTACTTGGTCAAAATGGAAGAGAAAAAACACACTTCATTGCTGTGCTGGAAGGCACCTTCATTTTTCAAAACTTCTGTACATTTTTTAGCCCTGCACTATATACTGGAATACTTCAATGTATTTTTTAAAGTTTCTGAGATCTAAAGTAACCACAAAATCTATTTGCTGCCTGCACTGGTGAATGCTTGCTTAATAGAATCTTTCTTTTGAACATTTTTAGCTTTCAACATTTTTTCCACAGGCATGCTCACTGATGTTTTTCTAACATTTTCACTGTTCTTTAAATAAAGCAAAAATATTTAAGCTGATGCCTCAGGCAAAACCACACTGAATCTGTGTAACTGTGCATTTCTAATGTATTTATCAGGGTGGCATATGTATTTAGAGAAGATAGGAAAAACATGTTCTAGTTTGTAAAACAACCTATAAACAAAGGAGTATTTTCTGTTTTTTCCAGCCTTTCAAATGGGCTGATGAGGGCAAGATAAATAATAATCAGCGTAGAAGAGGTGAAGGGAATCTTTTGCAAGGCACTTGCTTATCAAAGGAAAAATTTCATGTGCAGTACTGCACTTCACCCTTGATGCCATATCAAGAACATTATTTCTCATATATTGTCATTGTAGAAGTACAGACACTTTTCTGTTAAATCTGTGATCCACCAGATTGCTGATAACATTCATGTTTCCAGCAGGGAGGGGAAGTGAATGCACAATGTTCCTCTGCGGAGCAGGAGCACAAACGAGATGTGACAACATGTTATTGCCATCAACACTTACGAGCTCTCCCCCAGGATTTCATTAGTGGAATCATCATCCCCTGGAGCTTTTGTGTCCTCTTGTTTCCTAATCAGAAAGAACAGAACTGTGCCCACAAGACTGATAACAGTCAGAGCAATGAAGACAGTTCTGCGATCGCTCTCTGTGGAAAAACAAACAAGAGCCATAACCAGATGTGCAGAAGAGATTCAAACCAATCCAGCTACCTTCAAACAACTAACACACACATGCTACAGGGTTTAACACACACTAATTTTCTAGCTTACCTTCCACATGGAGCTGCTGGCAAACTCCTGTCTCAGTTTTATGGTGCTAATAAAATATCAGCAAATTAAAGAGGTCCCTCGCATTCTCTGCCATGCAAAGGCTATGACCAAGGAGCAGCCAATTAAAGGAAGTGCATAAATTATTAGCAGAAGAAAGTACATTTTTGAAGACTTATATAATTCAGACTGGACATAAAATGCCCCAAACCCCTTCAGATTTCTAAGAGACTCTCTTGACCAGCATCAGAACCATGAGCACCATGACATCATAAACTGTAGGCCAGGAAATGATGAAGGCATAAAAACCACCAAAACCTCAGTAACTGCCACAGCAGCTGGAGGGGGCAGCTCTGCTAAACAAGCTGGTTATACTGCAGCAGAGCACAGCCACATCTAATACAAAAGCCACCCCCACCTACCAGTATCAAGCAGGGAAAAAAACATTTGAACAGCAAACAATTGTGACTGAACTAATGCATGACCCTGAAGATATCACCTATCCTTGTATTTACTTCCCCCTTAGCTCAACAGCAAATGCAAACTTGTCCTAAAAATAACTTGGGTATGAACACAGATCCAAAAAGAGAAGGCGTGCTTCACAGCTTGAAATGACTCTGCTATTTTTTATATAGATAGTAAAATAAGATTTGATTTTTAAATGCTATTTGAATTTAAATGCTGTTAGGGTTTGATATAAAATTTTCTAATAAAGAGGAATCTCAAGACATTTAAGATGGAGGGAAATGCAACAGCAGAACTGCCTCACAGTTAATTGCTCTGTTCTGTGGTTAGCAGAACAGTGAAGTTTGGAATGCACAGAATTTGAGACCCACCCCCTCAGGTTCAAAGTGTCTCCAATATTTCCAATAACACTTAAACCCTTGTATTACAAGAATGCAGAAAATGACCTTTAAATTTAGCTAGTGTGTCATTACCAAACATGTACCTGTGGAGAACCTGAAAAGATGGAGCTCAGAGAAACAAGAAGTGAACTGTTCTCCCTGTTCTGTTATTTCTGAAACCTGGTAATTATTGTTTAAAAGTCAACATCTTATTCCTGATTGACCAGAGCAGAATTAAATCATCTGTTAAAGGTTAAAAGAATTGACCATTCTAGCAGATATTCAACATTAAGACTAAATAATGAAAATTATCAGTAATTGTAGAACAGGAAAATCAAACTTACCTGTTTACAGAGCACTGCCTTTCCAGCAGCACTCATTTTTGGTTATTAAAATCTATTTTCACCACTTTTCTTAGTGAATTCCCACCCCTCTACTTTGCCTGGCCTAAACAGTTGACAGAAATCTTTGGTTTAAAAACAGAATCTCAACACTGTCTGGCTCAAGAACATAGATAAAGTCTACTGTTCTCCAGTTCCTGGCCTTTGCCAGTCAAGCACAACATAAAATGGAAAAAACTACAGCCTTAATTACAATCCCATCAGGAAGTTCATCTCATAAATTATGCCAAGAAAGGAAGAGAGTTTTTACTCCACTCTCCCAGCAGTGCTGCCTCCTACACTGCTTTGTGCCAGCACAATTAATGCTGAAATTAAGTAAACTGAGATGGCTTTTCCTTTATTTCATAGCTTTATCCATCTCTAATATGATTTAGAAAAACACTCCACACCAGGAGCTTACTTTGGAATAGGATAGTGTGCACAATATTACACATACAGCCAGAACTCCTTCCCCCCAAATAGGTGTATTTTGGCACAAATGTGTCTGCACAGGGAAATTCCCAGAGTAGCTATTGTGGAAAATCTCCAAGAAGAGACTACCTACAATAAATTGGAAGGAAAAAAAAAAGTCTACTTTTGTATAAGCTTCCTGCCACTTTGGAATCCATTATTTCATCTGTTAATTCGTGCTACTGAATTTAAAGGTTGGCCATATAAACAAGCAGTACCCACCTGATATGTGAGTTTTTCCTTGCCAAGCCAAGTATATATAGAGATTTCCAAAAATCAAGCTGCAAACAAAAGGAGCAAAGGTCAACAATACATTCTATGAAAAAACTATGGTTGTAGCACCACATTGGTACTATTTTGTACAACAACAACAAAAATATCCCAAGGCTGTGCAATCCTGAAAGAAATAAAGACGTGAGTCACTCTCCATGTCAGCTGCTTTTATGTAAAACTCAAACAAATTTGAGGATTCTGCCTCAAAATGCTGGCTATTCATTTTTATCATTCAAGACACAAGGTGGTGGCAAAAATTATTAAATCTGCATCTACGCTGCTTCTAATCTTGGAAGCATATAGGTTAGAAAGGTGACATATTTCTGGAGGTGATTTTGTAATACTTCCTTTGCAGGGTCATGTGTTTTGTCTGAAGTATTGTTCAGCTCAAGGAAATTCTGTGTCCCTAACTACCATTTCCCAAAATACAATCATTCTGAATGAAAGATTTTAAACAGTTTTAGAGCATATTTTCTTCTTATTAACCCATATATTTTACCCACTCACACAATCAGCTGGGTTTGTGGAAATTGCTACTCTGGTAACATACTGAGGGGTTAATACTGGAACTGAAAACTTTAGAAACACAAGGTTTGACAAATGCATGCTGGTTCAGGCTGATGTTCTCCCAGCCATGGATCCCACAGCACCATTAGCAATGCAGGCTCAGCACCCTAAGCATTTCTACAATTCATTCCCCTGGTTATCTCCCAGATACGTATTCTGGGAGAATATTCAGAACTCCTGCATTAGAGGTGGTAAAAGGATCTTTCTTCATGAGCCATTTGTGCACCTGTCTCCCATGAATTTGTTTTATTCCTTTTCAATACTGCTCACACCATCCAACTCTACAGACCCCCAGGGCTGCAAGCTCCAAAAGTTTAATTACCCACTGTAAAAAAAGGACTTGATCTGTCTCAAACCAGTCCTCCTTATTCTCACCCAGTGACCCCAGTTCAGCACAGCAGCATTTGGTGAGCAACAGTTCTACACTCAGCTCCCCTGGCTGCCCAAAATTTGCTAATAATCCTCCTCAGCTGCTGTTCCTCCACAGGAAAGAGTGCCAACCTTTTCAGTCTGTCCTCAAGCCATCAGCTCTATCTTCTTGTATAATTTCATTATTTTTCTCTATATCCTAATTGTATTATGCTCCCATGGGAGGCATTAACTGTCTCTGCACAAAACACTCAATGGCCACAACACAGCATCCCCTGCCTTGTTCTCACTGCCCTTCTTGATGCTGAGCTTTTTGTTCATTTTTCACTTGAGCAGCACTCATAGTTTAATAGCAGAAAGCCATCAAAAACAAGATTTCTTTTCTGGCTTCTGACTGCCAGGTCCAACTTCAGTATCTTCACCTTGGCAGTGAAAATCAGCTTCTCCCTCAATAAAAGACACAAATTGGAACAACCCTCCACAACCAACAAGATTGCTGTTGCATCCCTCAAATACTTCTCTAGCAAATATATCTTTTTAGCAGCTCAAGAGCTGAGATTGCAATACTCAGCTTTCTTTCATTTCTTGTTTTGTAATGCACAACACCAATAAAAACATTGCTTCCATCTCTCCTTCCCACCAACTGCAAGGTCCCAGGGCATTTTCAATGCAGTCTCCCACTTGTAAAAAGATATAAAAAGCAGAATGTGTTCACAACAAAAAAAAAAAAATAAAAAAAATCAACAAATAAAGCTTACCTGAACTGTAGGAGTGCCCAAAATATTCCACTGTTCCTTCCAATGGTGTTTTCATCAGAATTTTCAGTCAAGCAATTTCCCTGAGCTGTCCAGAGGACTGAAACAGACAGAATATATTGCTCAGGAAATAAAAATATTTTAAAAGCATATTCAAATCTCATAAGAAACAGTCAGCAGAGTAAGAACAATGCTTACCAGCAGCTGCAATGCCAATAAGCACAGAGGCAGTGTAGAAAGCCCATGTAGCTGGCTGGATAAAGACAGCAATGTACAGGCTAGAACAGAACAGATCAGTGCATTGAATACTGACCTAAAGTGGACAATGCTCTTTATCAATCAGATACCTCACTTAGGTGCTTCTAAAACAGCTGCTCTCCCCTAAGGGATGTTGAAAAACAGGTTGTATATGAAAAATCTTTTTACCCTTCCAAGCACATAGAAGTTTTTTTATATTGTTATTAATCTGAGACCATAACCTCAATTCCACAGTCAGCAAAGTCTGGAAATGCTGTGGAAAAAATGTGTTGTTTCCAGTAATACTCTGCAGTATCTCTGTGAGAGGCTTCTCTTAGTACAATTTCATCTATGGCACAAGAGCCTTAGATGTGAAAAAATTAAAGAAGTATTTCCAAGGAAGCAGGCAAAACCTCAAAATTAATGCTTACCTATAAAACACACCACTAATAACCATGGAGAATTGAGGTCCCACTATTGCAACCAGTGAAGGTGATATAAGATTTGATGCAGACAATACTCCATAAATAATGGACATGCTACAGAAATAAAAAACAAAGACTATTAAATACTTAAAATAAAATATAGGCTAAAATATTATTTAGGAGCGATCAAAATATCCAGTTAAGTACAAACATAACAGCAAAACTCCAATGGTTCATTTCCTTACTTTCTTCTGTTCCCTTCACCCATGGCACTCCACATGGGAATACGGGAGTGAACAGTATTCCCTGGATTGCTGAGTAGAGTCCCAAACTACTGCAGGCAATGACATCTTTTAATTTACAGCATGCATTTGTCAAACTGCCTGAACAGCAGTTATTGTATTTTGTACCATGTACATCTAGAGGAGAATGTTCCAGAAGCTCATTTATCTGTCAGTGAGGTTTTCATCTTCTGCCAGATACACCACAGAAAATTTTACGGACATATGTTGTGCCCGTGGCATTTTTAGTTTAAATTAAGACAGAAAACCTTTCAAAGGAGCAGTGAGGTTTTCCTACAGGACAGATTAATTTGACATGCAAAAGGTCCCTGAACATGCCTGACAAGTTTGACTCTGCCAGTGCAACAAAGGGAATGGCTTTTTGTGGCTTTGCTTGTCTTTCTGACTGCTCCTTCCACATTTGTGTTGTATTTCCTGAGAGCTGATCCACACCACCTGTCCTACACAAACACAGGGTACAAAAGCAAACAACCAAGACCTGACTTCGCAGTTTTATTTATTTTTAGACTTCCACCTTCTTTGCCTCCTAAGGTAAAATGCTGAGAATGTGATGACAGTGGTTTTTGCTCCTACAAAGAAAACATGCAAACCAGATATGTAGCTCAACTGGAAATAATTCAGAGCAGAACTGTGAGAAGCCTGTTTTAAACTGCTTTAAGTGTGTCAATAAATTGTGAAGTCAGCAGAACGCTGCAATCTCTTGAGAGTGTCTCTCTACTGGATGAAACTGTAACTAAGTTCGCCCTGCAAAGAGCAAAGTAAGAAGAAAATCTGTGTAATTACCTCGTGTAGCCACTGCCATGAAAGTCTGTGTTGTTTAAATTCGTGATAACAGTTTGCTGTGAGGAGAGGATCATACATTGTAATATGTTAGAATCTATTTTGTATTTTGAGAACACCTTCATTGGTTTGAAGTCAGTAGCAAACATTAGAATTGTTCATTAATAGACACTACACAGTACTTGAAAGAATTTAAAATGTTAATTACAACTCACACCACCTCCACAACAAAGATGCAGGAGATACTTGGCAGGGAAGCATCTATGTTTGAAGAAGAAATTTGTACTTTATTATGAAATCATAATTTCATAAGAGACCTAAAATACTTCACAAAACTTTTGTTTCACTTAAGACCTCTCTTACGTAAATAGGTATGACTACCTTAATTTCAAAAGTGGGGAAAAAAAGGAGAAGTTTCAGAATAATCTTGACCTAACTATGAATCTCTGTTAAGAGTTTCCATTCTTTTCAGCTTCTCATTATTTCCCTCTTCCTTTTTTTCCCCTTGACTCAGCTTTAGTGATCATGAGACCACGCAGTTAGTTGGACTGGCAGATCTGATTGAAAGTCACTTGTAAAGACCTTTATGACAATGAATTAAATGATTACATGATCACAAAGTTCAATTTGGTGAGGTGCTGAATTCATTGCAGAATTTCTGAGATTGTTGGGCTGCACATGAGAGCTCACAGAAAGTATTACACTGCACTAGAACTTACAAAAACTACCCCAAGTAGTTATTTCTGTAATATTTCTGTATTATTCTCTAATATTCTGTCTAAATATTTCTGTAACATTCTGTAATGCAGTGAAGGACATTTATCTGTCTGAATCCAGCAAGGATCCTTCTTGCATGCAAGAAAAGAGCTGTAAGACCTGTGGGCTCAAAGTGGATGTGGAAATCTAACTGCCCTGCAGGAGCAGAACTAATAATACTGAAAGCAGCTCAGGAAGTTAAAGAGCTAAACCTGGCAGTAATAGGAGCCTAAAAATTTCAATAGCAGCAGTAAATTTGGATTATGCTGTGCTCAGTTTTTGCTCTGGAAAGAGATACTAAATAGCAGTAAATAACTCCTTCAGCTGGAAGGTGATTCGGCAGTTTAGCAATTGCAGAAATCTATTTGTCAGGCGTTATCCTCAAACTCCCCCTCAATATCTAGTTTGTCAGATTATGAAAATCTAGTTAATAATAGCATGGTCAATAATAACTTATGCAAATATTTTGAAAGGGACTATATAGAATATGCAAGGCTCATTGTAATTCAATTGTCCAACATCACAAGTATCAAAGCAGACACTATGTTAAAGCTCAAACATTTTACAAGATTATTTTTCTACTTTCTGAGCAATCAGGCTGTTTTATATGTAGCTATTCTATCTTAAAGAGATAACCTGCTGAATTATTTGGTTAAACACATTAATCTACTTAAAACTAAACCAAAAGAAGATAAATGTTAAAGTATCTTGCACATTAAGAAATCCCAAACAAAGCAACATTAGAGCACACAAAAGACAAGCCAGGGTAAATAACTGAGATAGAAACGTGGAACGTTTTGAAAGTCACACCTACCGCGATATTTCCACAGGATTGGAAAGCAGTGAATATAAACATAAATGAGACTCCCAAAATAATGATGTTGAAAAGCTTTTTTCCTTCTTGAGACATTTTGTGTATTTTTACCAAGTCCTCAGCCTCAGTCTGGAAAAACTCTTTTTTTTTTTTAAAAGTTTCCTCTTAACCTCTGTAAAAAAAAAAAAAAAAGGCAAAAAGAATAAAAGAAAGCAAGCTTCAAAAATAATGATTACTTAGGGCTGCTCATTAGCTGATTGAAAATATTAATTAATCAAGAGTCCTGGAAACCCTTTTAAATAATGTGCAACAAAACTTGACAAATAAGGTGTGGTACAAAAGGTGAAGCCCAAGATTCTCTCTACCTGTTCCCATGAAGTTACCAGGGCTGGCTGCAGGGTGTTACTCCATGGCATCCCCTTCTCCCAAAGGAGCAGCTTTCCCAAAAGCGAGCAGGGGAATGTGCTCAGCCCCTTGTCATTGCTGAAATCAGAATTGCGGTCCCCGGCCTCTCAATCACCTGACGAAGGAAAGATGAGCCGCTCGCACATTTCCATGCACTGCACAGGAAATAAAGAACATTTCAGCGTCTGGATCAGCTGACACAGCCCTGAAAGCCCTTGTGCACTATGGGAAATGCAGTTTTAGCAAAGCTACCTTTTCCTATTTCAAGCGGTGAAAATCTCCCAGTCTTTAAAATAAGGTTGTTTGTACCAGTTTTTGAGAATTAATAATAATAATAATTTTTTAAAAAGAAATTTAAAAAACACACATTAAAAAACTCAACAACCAAACAAAAAAAAAAATAAAAGCCCCACTCAACGACAGAATCATGGAATCACAGAATGGTGAAAATTTTGATGGAAAGAGACCTTTAAGCCCATCTCACCCCACCCCTGCCATGGGCAGGGACACCTTCCACTGGACCAGGTTGTTCCAAGGCCACTCCAACCTGGCCTTGAACACCTCCAGGGATGGAAGTGATACCATTTATCTTGTACTTCATAGTATTTCTAAATAATAAATTTAAGATTAATTGATCTTTGAGTCATGAAGATCTCTGTTAAAACATTACCAAAACTGAGAGACGATCAGACATTGACCAAATAGCTGCTTTTTCCTGATACCATCCTTCTTCTGTTCTGTTTGCCCTCTGGGATTGGAGAATTCAACTAAATCAGTTCTACTTTAATGCTGGCCAAAAGAACAGAGAAGGAAATGCAGAACTGATTGATGTAAATGACAAATCACATTTTACCTCTGTTGTCTACAGTAAAGGGTTTAAATAAAATCTGCACCCCAGCCACAGTAACATATATTTAATACATGCATTACAAGCTCTTTTACTAAACTGTATTCCTAAACTGTAATTTTTTAAATGTCAGTGTTTTTCAAAACAGCGTGTCATTTTCATTTTTGGAGGAAAGTCAGTGTGATTATTCAGAGGCTGCTTTACAAAGATGCAATTAAAACATCAAGGTCAGGGGTCTTAACACAAGGAAAGCTCTCTTCTTCCTTTTTAATATTATTAATTTATAGTGCAGAATTTTAAGATTCTCTAGTAATAGTGTCCCATTCATGTTTTTTCTCCCTTATGCCAGTACAAGCTTCCATCCTGCTGCACAGCAAACTGGGCTGGTGGGCTGGAACAATTTATTTGGTAACAGCAGCAACATGTTTTGAAGTGACTGAAACTGGGAGGAAGGGGCATAGGAAACTTCTTGTCATTTTAGGAAAATCACTGTAAATATAAACGTCAAATTTCGCCTTTGGAAAAGGGTTGCAGCAGATGCAACACTAAATTTTTAAATCAAATTCTTTGGTGAAAAAATGAAATAAACATGAAGCAATACAAACGGTCAAACCAGTACCAGTTTATTTGATTTCTGAAGTCATTTGTAGCAGGAAACAAACTGTTGCTTCTGGATTTGTATTCATGGCACTGTTTATTTTTATACCTCATCAGTGCAAAAAAAAAAAAAAATTAAACACAAGCATAGTAAAACTAAGAATTTAAATTCTACTACTGAAATAATTGTTCATATCGATACTGTCATTTGGATTAAACAAATCAGTAGAAAAGTCTAATTTCAATTCTTTTCTTAACATTGTGTTATGGAACAGCTGGATAGAAACTTTCAACATTGTTTTGAGAATGAGAAGCGGGTATTACAGTTCAGGAGTTTTATTATCTTTTTTTTATTATGTTATTAGTGCTTGAGGTGATAGAGCAACAACTTTCAGGGTGGGGGAGTAGCTTTCATAGAATTTTTTGGGCTCTCAGAAGTTGCTTACCACCCTTACACAAAGGGCTGTGCAAATCTTCTCCCACAACATGAATTTGCGGATGTGAGGATGATTTTAGTGTGTTCCTGCTCACCAAGGAGCCAGCGGGAACGGATCCATCGTGGCACACTCAGAGCTGGCAGGGCTGAGACTGGCACGGAGCGGAGAGCGGGCAGTGTGAAAAACGCCAATCGCTTGGTTTTTAAAATTTTAAAAGTTTAATAATAATAATATGGTTATAAAAATAGTAATACAATTAGAGTAATAAAGTTTAAAGTTAGGATAATTACAAGACAATAAAAAGCAAAGAATTAGGGATGTCCGGAGTCACAAAAAGCATCCCTTGTGAACAAAGGAATAACCTTAAAAACAATAGCTTGTTGCATATTCATATATCTTTCATGGTTATGCATACGTTCTCTTTAAAACAAGAACTCTCTCTTGTTTCCTTTAATCCCTAAGGCATCTTCAAGTCTGAGCAAGGCCCGAAGAAATTAGCTTTTTCTGATAAGAAAACCATAAATTCCTTTTCTTTAGAAGATTTAGGTGTTCTTCGAAACAAGTATCTCATTCCTAAAAAAAAAAAAAACTCCCCCCACATACATAATCTCTATTTTAACATTACGTTGGAACCTAAAACTATATTTAACACACTACTTAAGAGAATTAATACAGCGCAACTGTCTAACATTACAAATATAACATTCATTGTAACATTTGCGAAAAGCCAATCATAAAATAAGCATTTTTCACAGGCAGGAAAGGCACTGAGCTCCTACAGCAGCTGCTCCGGGAGAATCGCTCTGGTAGAAGCCGGGGCGAGCGGGGCTCCCCACAGAACCCCGGCTTCGTTCCCCGGGCTGAGCGGGGCTGCCCAGGGAACCCCAGCCCCATTCCCCACGGAACCCCAGCCCCATTCCCCACGGAACCCCAGCCCCATTCCCCACGGAACCCCAGCCCCATTCCCCACAGAATTCCAGCCCCATTCCCCACGGAACCCCAGCCCCGCTCCCCACAGAACCCCAGCCCCATTCCCCACAGAACTCCAGCCCCATTCCCCACGGAACCCCAGCCCCATTCCCCACGGAACCCCAGCCCCATTCCCCACAGAACTCCAGCCCCATTCCCCACAGAACCCCAGCCCCATTCCCCACGGAACCCCAGCCCCATTCCCCACGGAACCCCGGCTCCGCTCCCCACAGAACCCTGGCCCCGCTCCCCACAGAACTCCAGCCCCGCTCCCCTCACGGCTCTCCCCTCCACGTCCGCCATTTTAAACCATCCCCGCCCGCCCGCGCCACAAGCCATTCACTTCACCATCGCTATTTTTTTCCCGCGGCGAGGTTTTGTCGCCCGTCTCCCTCTCCCACACACACACACACCGCTCTGCCCTAATTTATTTTCTTCTTATTGTTATTGCTATTTTGGCGTGGGGGTTTTTTTTACGGTTTTCAACACACATTGTTCAAAAATTTCCCCGCCTCCACCGAGCCCTTCCGGGTCACGGCGGCGGCGTTTTAACAGCCACTTTCCAACCACAGGGAGAATTATTAATTTAGAGAGGGATTCCCCACGCTCACTCCGGGACCACCTCGGGGAAAAGTAGTTAAAAGGGATGGGGGGTCCCTGCCGCGGAGCCGCGGGCGGGGCGGTGCCGCGTTTCCTTCCGGGGCGCCGCCGGCCATTTTGTGGCGTTAAGCCGCGCGCGCGGGCGGTTCCCTCTCATTTCCTCGCCGCGGCGGGACGGGGCGGCCGCTCCTGGCGCTCAGCTCCGGCCTCGGGCCGCCCCTGGGATCCTGAGGTGGGTGCTGCTCCCTGCTGACCCCGCCGCTTTCCCCTATGCGCTCTAGTTCTCCTCCTTTTTGGACTCGCCCTGCGGCGTGAGGCGCGTCGCCCTCAGGGCCGCGCCGGCTGCTGACCCCCTTGAACCCCCTCAGGTTTATTCTCTTCGGCCGCCGCCGCCCCTCTGGGGCTCCTGCCCACCATGAGTTACGGCCGCCCGCCGCCCGATGTGGAGGGCATGACGTCCCTCAAGGTGGACAACCTGACCTACCGCACCTCCCCGGATACCCTCCGGAGAGTCTTTGAGAAGTACGGCCGCGTGGGCGACGTTTACATCCCCCGGGACCGCTACACCAAGGAGAGCCGCGGCTTCGCCTTCGTGCGCTTCCACGACAAGCGGGACGCGGAGGACGCGATGGACGCGATGGACGGGGCGGTGCTGGACGGGCGGGAGCTCCGGGTGCAGATGGCCCGCTACGGCCGCCCGCCCGACTCGCACCACAGCCGCCGCGGGCCGCCGCCCCGCCGCTACAGCAGCAGCGGCTACGGCCGCCGCAGCCGCAGGTGAGCGCCGCGGAACGGCTAACGGAGTTCGGGCGGTCAGCGAGGTGAAGCGAGCTGTGCGCTGCCAGCCGTTTGTTGTCGTGTTGGTTGCCTAGGGAGGTAGTGAGGTCTCCGGCACTGAGCGGTAGGGACGCAGAGTTGAGCCATGTGCTCTAGACCGATCCTGCTTAAGCAGGGAGGTTGGAGCGGATGACCCGCTGTTGCCCCTTCCAACCGGACCGATTCTGGGATGCCCTTTTCCCAGCGACTTTCGCGAAGAGGAAGTGGGGGTTTACTAGAGGTTTAGTAGCATAGGCACGTGGGGATCCATCGGAGTAGAAGGGTTTCGCCCTATAGTACGTTTAGCCCCCGGCCACTCGCTCTGAAACAATGGCGCCTTGGTAACACTCATTTTCTTGCCCACGTGCGTCCTGTTCCGCCTTCCCTGTCCCGCAGCACTCCCTCCACTCCGTGCGTCACCCGTGAGCAACTTCTAACGCGCCCTTTTTCTTTTTCTTTCCTCCTGGTATGTTTTAGCCCTAGAAGACGCCGTCGCAGCCGATCTAGAAGCAGGAGCCGCTCTAGGTCCCGCAGTCGGTCCCGCTACAGTCGATCCAAATCCCGGTCTCGCACACGCTCCCGGTCTCGCTCCACCTCCAAGTCCAGGTCTGCCAGGAGATCCAAGTCAAAGTCCTCATCTGTCTCCAGATCCCGCTCCAGGTCAAGATCCCGGTCCAGATCTAGAAGCCCTCCCCCTGCCTCAAAGAGGGAATCCAACTCTAGATCCAGGTCTAAGAGCCCTCCCAAGTCTCCGGAAGAAGAAGGAGCTGTATCCTCCTAGGAACATGGTAATGTACCTTGGGATCAGCACAGGATGCATGTTACTTTCTTAGAGCACTTAGGTGGGGTGTTGGGTAGTTCTTGGAGCATTAATAGCCTGAACCAAGTGAATCCTAGTGGGGCACATTGTTAGTTGTTGGTTTTGGTTTTTTTTTTCTTGAGCAGTGACTTTTTTGTTATTGATTTAGGGAAATAATTACTGAAGGGTTTTCTACGGAGAAATTTTTTTTTTAAACAGAGAAAATGTTTTATTGCAAGATTAATGCCTTGGTTTTAATAAAATATTGTATGAGACGCAACCTATGATGAAAATGACTATTTCTTACTGTATTTATCCAACATCTGCATTTTCCCCTTTAAAGCTGCGGTCTCCTGTTTGCTAAAAGAATATTGGCCAGTATTGCAGATTTTAACTGATTTGGCTGATCCTCCAGGGACCAGTTTCTGTGGGCGTGTGTTGGAGCAGGTTTGTCTTACACTGTTAAAGATACACTATCCTTTTAGAACGGAAGATCGGTTCAGTGGCCGTTGTACTGACTGGAGGTAATAACTGTCCTAGAAAAGTGGTAAATTCCTTGCAACAAGAAAACCACGGAAACTAGTTTTTCCTCAAGTCGACATCTTGAAGAGGCATCTAAGGATACACCGGGTGGGGAAAGGATAGTGTGTCTTTAACCCTTCAAACTGTTTGGTCCTGTTTTTTAAAAGGAAAGGGCCTGAGCTAGTTCTGGATATAGATAATTGTAGCAAAATTAGTCACATTTTCAGTTTTGAAGGCTAATTAGAGTTTAGTTAAGTCTTTATGAAGAAGTATTAGTTTTGTAACTTTTATAGAACTCTGAATAATGGAGTGGTGAACAGGCTGAATTGAAGTTAATGTCTGGCTTGATCTACAGCCTGCTGCTTATTCTCCTTTGTAACTAAATATTTTGACCAAACCTTACATTTGGCCTCGAAGTAAAGCAACACACGGGGGGAGGTGGAACACTGGAAATTCCTAAAACTTAATTAAATTAGTCAAAGCCAGTTGAAACACAACTAGAAGTATCCATGAAGTCATCCACACCCAAAATAGACAAGGTAGAAACCTGGCTGAACTTTTCTCTCTTCAAACCTAGATGCTTCAGCTAAATGAGAGCCCAGATAAAGGACGCCTTTGGGGGGAAAAGATCGCTTGAGTCTTCAGCCCATTGGAGAGACCCTGGCCGAGCAACCAGCTGTTGAAAAGGTTATTTTGTAACATTTTGTCTAACTTTTTACTTGTTTAAGTTGCGCCTCAAGTGGCAGATTTTACATTTTATGTGCCATTTTGTTGCTGTTATTCAAATTTCTTGTAATTTAGTGAAGTGAACGACTACCGATTTCAATATTGGCTTGGATATTTGAGGTAAAACTTCATTTTTGTTTATATAGTGCTGACTTCTATTGGAAATTAAAGTCGATGGTAAACTTGCTGCCTCCAGTTTCATACTGAGGAATCATGCAGCCATTATATGCTGATAACTAACTGTCAAAAAGTACTCTCAATTTTATTTTGATTCCTTAAAAGTCCGCAAAACTTCAACTTGAAACTTACTGTAAATGCTTTTTGTTTTTTAAAGAAAGAAAAACTTTGACCTAAAATAGCATCATCAAATTCAAATTGGTAGAAATCTTTTCAGGTGACAGTTGATATTTGCAAGGATTGTTTTATCAGACTCAATTCTAATCTCTTCTCTTATGTATTTTTGTGCACTAGGCGCAGTTGTGTAGCAGTTGAGTAATGCTGGTTAGCTGTTAAGGTGGCGTGTTGCAGTGCAGAGTGCTTGGCTGTTTCCTGTTGTCTCCTGATTGCTCCTGTGTAACGATGCCTTGTCGTGCAGAAACAAATGGCTGTCCAGTTAATTAAAATGCCTGACAACTGCACTTCCAGTCACCCGGGCCTTGCGTAAAAAAAATGGAGCATACAGTGAGCACATCTAGCTGATGATATACACACCTTATTTTTTCCAGAATGGTAAAACTTACCAACTACATATATGAACTTGCATATGAGAATTGTAATGTTAAGCAAAGAAATGGTTCATTCCTTTGTAAGTACTGATTGGTGTATCTTTTGCTTAAGACATTCTGTACTATACCCACTGTCTCTGTAGTTAATATTAAACATTTTTTTCTGTGTTAACTTTTCTCAACTTAATGTCTTGGGTCAGCTTATTTTTAGCTTGAAAAGATTTCTGCAATTACACTGTCAATGTTTAACTTCTATATAGTAACTAAATGCATTCTACTGCTTATAAATTTTATCCACTGGGGTTGCTTTGAAATTACTGTGGGCAAACTTTAATTAATATTGTAACTAACCCAGTGTTGTGTGGCAGGTGGTAACACACCAGGCCACCGACACAGACCCAGCCTGGGATGGTGTTGTGGGAGGTCCACACTGAGCAGTACTAATAATTGCATTGCTGTGTGCTTGCCCTGGTTCACCAGGCTGCTGCTTGACAGGGGCTGGTCTTTACAGTGATGATTTCTCTTGATTTGGTACCAAATGACTTGTAACTTCAAAGATCCTGTGTCAAGGGTTATTGTAATGCCTTGTTTTATCTTATGCATGTATGTTAAATGGGAATGGAAACATCTGAACACTGGCGGTATGGCTTTGTTGAGGATTAAAAGTACTTTTCTACAAACTGAGGAGTTTGTATGTTCTAGGTTAGTGCAGTCTCCACACATTCATTTACCAGCAGAGGGGCTGGCTTTTGTATGTGGATCTTTGGGAAGGATTCTCAGTCGTGGGAAAGAGATCTTATGGGAATGGATTTTATTGTTTTAAACGAGTGCATTTACCTTTTCATAGCTGAAGCTGTGGATTTAGGTTGGATCTTGTGGATTTCCAGGTTGAACTGTTGTGGCTCACCTGGTGGAATTGAGGCTCTGAACTATTTCATGGACTTGGGGGAGGAATACAAATTTCTCGAAAGCCATAGCTGGAAAACCAAACAGCTTTATTTTTACAATGCATGTTTTAAAAATTGCTGCTTCCCCAAAATATCCATGAGGTTTGCTGTAAACCAGGACTGTTCTCTGCAGCTCTGTGCTACAGTGAACAGCTGAGTATCACCTTGTACTGCAATCTAAAGCAGAATAAAGTGAAGTGCCCTCTGACTGTGCTAGCGAGATGATCATCATTTCAATTGTGTGTCTTCCTGGCATAGAGGAGCTGGCCAAGTGCTCTTTGTCTGCCCCAAAGGAATGCAGGGGAACGTGGATGCACTTCAGGTTCCATTTGTAGAGCAGAGCCTCGATAGACCAGTCAGCACTGAGGGGAGGAAAAGGAGTAAAAATCTAACTCAGGGTTATGACTGCTACAGTAACTCGAGCAGCCTCTCACCAAACTAGTACAACATAGATGGGTTTGTATCAGTTTTCCACTTAACAGCAAATTGGTGGTTCTTGGATTGTTTTCAGATTTTGTTACCTGCAGGGTTTACTGGGCAAATAGCAGCCTGACTCACAATAAATAGCTTTTCTGAGTCAGTGGTGCTGCTACAGAGGAGTCAAAGCTTGTCCACAGCTGAGACAGTAGTTAAGAGTTTTAAATATGTAAAAATTTACCTCCGGACTTGGTAAGTTGTCCAGAATTGAGCATGTGGGTTCTTCTCCAACAAGAAGTAAATTGTAGTTAGAATATCTTCAAAGTCTGTGTAGTTTGGGAGATAAAGCAGCCTGGGTTAGTCTCATTTACCAGGTATGGATAACTCTGCCTGGTTCTATGAAATGGTAATTACAAATCAATGCAAATACAGAGTATCTGTATGAGAGACCCATACATAGCGAAAAGGGAGTCAGTTATTTACTTAATCTTCTCCTCCCACACCCTCAACTGTATTTATGACAGCTCTAAACTAGAATTACCCCACAGTAACAAGGTCAGTAGCACAGTGTCACCTGATCTACTGACACTGTTCCCAGCAGTACTTGGACACGAACTCCTTGCAGTCACAAACTAAAATACCTAAGAGCACTAACGTACCTTTGGGGTCAAAAAAGACATCTGAGCCTAAAATAATGTCTATGGGTGCCAGAGAGAGCAGCTGTGGCGACACGCGGCCCCAGGTGAGGCCGAGGACGGGCACGCCGGGCAGGGAGTTCAGGAGGCAGCTGTTGCGGCAGCTCTGCAGGCACTGGGTCAGCTCCTCGCTGTCCGACAGGATCACCTGGGCACCGCACCTGGCGGCCACCACGCCGGGGAGACTCACACCGGCACCGATCTGAAAGCACAGCGTGCTCGTGGAGCCCGCGGGCGGAGCCTGACCCGCGGCTCACGGGCGGGGGAACCGGGCGGGGAGCGGGCGGTACCTCCAGCACTCGCTTTCCGGGCAGGCTGCGCCTGTGCGCCCACAGGTATTGGGCCAGGACCACGGCGCAGGGCCACACGTACAGGCCGTACTGCGAGTCCAGCACCTGCAAGTCACGGGGCGAGGCGCTGTGCCGGGGTCCCGGGAGCTGCCGCCGATGCCCGTGCCCCGGCTGCCCCCGGTACCTCGAGCACGTCCACGACCAGCGCCGCCGGCCCCTCCTCGAAGTGGTACCGCCGCGCCCACGGCCGCCGCGGCTCCGCCACGGGCCAATCGCGGCCCGACACGTATTGCCGCCCGGCCATGCCGGCCAATCAGCGCCTCCCCCGGGCGTGACGTCAGCGGAGCGCCGCCGCGGGCGCTGATGGCGCTGAGCCGCTCGCCCCGCCGCGGGCTCCCCCCGGGGCCGCCGTTAAGCCGGGCCGCGCTCGCCCACGCCGCCGCTCTGGCGGGGCGAAGCAGGGCGGGCGCCTCCGCGGGCTGCTTCCCGGAGAACGGAGGAAACCGGGTGCCACGCGGTCGGGCCGACACTGTCAGGGGAGCAGCAAGCGCGGAGAACGGGAACGGCAGCGGCGGCGGTGGAGCAGCACCCCACCGTAGTTCCGCCCCCGTAGCTCCCGGGGCGGCCGCGGTGCCTGCGCGCCGCCCGCGCTGCCCTTCCTCAACATGGCGGCGCGGGGGCGCCGCTTCCCCGGCCTCGGCCAATCAGCGCCGAGGCGTGGCGGAAGCCGGGGCGCAGCCGGCCAATGGGAGCGTGGCGGGGGCGGGGCCGCGGCGACAGCGGCGGCACGGGGTGAAATTTCTGGAAGGTGCGGCCGGAGCGGGGCCGGGATCGGGATCGGGGCCGGGATCGGGGCCGGGGACCGCGGGCGGTGACGGCCCCCAGCGCCGCCGCCATGAACCACAAGAGCAAGAAGCGGATCCGCGAGGCGAAGCGCAGCGCCCGGCCCGAGCTGAAGGACTCGCTGGACTGGACCCGTCACAACTACTGCGAGACCTTCCCCCTCAGCCCCACCGCCTGCAAGGTGCGTCGGGCTGGGGGCAGAGAGGGGCAGGAGGGACGGAAGGGTGGGAATGGGGAGTGGAGGAGCGGGAATGAGGATGGAGGGGGGCGCGAGTGAGCGAGTCCGACAGGGATGAGGGGAAGTGGGGTGGGGAGCCGTGAGGAGATGGGGATGGAGGAGCGACTGAGGGGATTGGGGATGGCTGAGGTGAAGGGGGAGCTGCGGGACGGCGGATGGGAAGCGCGAACCTTTTCCCCAGGCTGGGGTTGCCTCGGAGCTGAGGTTTGGGGAGGGAGGGGACTTTCTTCCCTCCACGTGGCGAGGCGTGTGGGAAGGTCGGGGCCCGCCGGGATGGAACCCGCGTCACTCCCAGGAGCGCTGCCCGGTGTCCCGAGGGAGGGAAATGCAGCAAGGGATGTGTCAGCCGAAAGGGCAGCGTGGCCTCTCCGCCCGGGGAGCTGCCTCGCTGCGGAGCTGTGCCAAAGGCTGCAGGCGGCGAGTGTCACTGATGTGTGCAGGGAGCGGGCCAGGAGAAATGGGGCTGCAGCCTCGGGGAGCTTAAAATAACACACAGGCAGCTCCATGCCCGCGTGGTGTGTGGAGCAAAGGATGTGTGTGAAGCACCCCCACAGGCAAGCGCAGCCCTAGGACGTCAGTCTGTCCTAATATCTGTCCTGCTTTCCTCCCTTGGTTTCACAGGATAACGTGGAGAGGGCAGATGCGCTCCAGTTAACAGTGGAGGAGTTTGTTGAGCGTTATGAAAAGCCTTACAAGCCCGTGGTGTTGCTGAACGCTCAGGTGGGCTGGTCTGCCCAGGAGAAGTGGACGCTGGAGCGGCTGAAACGCAAGTACAGGAACCAGAAGTTCAAATGTGGGGAGGACAATGATGGTTACTCTGTGAAGATGAAGATGAAATATTACATCGAGTACATGGAAACCACGCGTGATGACAGCCCCCTGTACATCTTTGACAGCAGCTATGGAGAGCATCCCAAGCGAAGGAAACTCCTGGAGGACTACAAGGTCCCCAAATTCTTCACTGATGATCTCTTTCAGTATGCAGGGGAGAAACGAAGGCCTCCCTACAGGTAGAGTGACAGCAAGACAAAACTGGGTATTTTCCAGCTCATTGGTTGTTCCTAAATACCAGGGATTGTCTCATATAAAAAAGGGATATTTTCACATCATCTCTGAAATGAGTGTACGTCTGTAATCCTGTGGGAGAGAAGGGCAGATTTATATCATAATTTCTCCTTCTGTCACCAGTGTTGCTACAGGTTTATGGTTTAGGGTTTTTTTTTTCCATTCTATTAAGTCAGTTTACATCACTGCTTGGATTTTTTCAAAAATTACACAGTTCCTGAGAGCTATAAAGGTCAATATCTTGCTGTTTGTACCTTCTAGTGTTCAAATTTTAAATACCTCAGGAACAGCTCCTGAGTTTTGCACCAGTGGCTTATGTACAGTGTGGAATTTTGTTTCATTATGAGTCACTCCTTTTAAGGTAAAGATCTTAAAGTAGATTGGGATCTAATATGGGCACCAGTTCTTAGCTCCCCTTCAGATGGTTTTGTGAGTGAACAATATTTCACATCTATGTAGTCTTTTCAACTCTTCCTTTATTTTTGCTTCAGCTTGGAAGAGGGTGAAATGATACTTAATTCATAAATTCAAATGCAGCAATCTGGTATTTGGGCTTCTAGATAAAAAAGCCAGTTTTATCTATGTTACTATGACACTACACAGCACTGTGAGCTTAAGATGGAACCCTCCCAAGTAATTAAAGTCTTTACAGTGACATTATAATTGTCAGACAATGCCTGTTGCTCT